CGGTAGTTTTGAGCAAGTCCTGAAGTAAAAAAAAGTCGAAGCATGTCTCCGCCGAGACTTCAGGATGTCGTCCAGGCGTGGGCCTGGGAGCCTGATTGGAGAGTTGGGGCAGGGTTTAGGGTTTAGGGTTTGGGGTATAGGGTCTAGGGTTGGGGTTTAGGGTTCAGGGTTTGGGCGGCAAAAGAGAAAGGAAGAGAACATGTAACGCGCAAGAACGTGCAACCACAGGCTGCCGGCAAAGCACTGGGGCGCAGCTGGTCTGATGTGCAGCCTTTCCTGAAGCTCTTGGAGGACAACTGGTACGACTCGCTGGAGAGTTTGAGGCGCCAGGTTTAGGGTTTAGGGTTTAGGGTTTCGGGTTTAGGGTTAGTGCCACCGGGCTCTTTTCTGAAGGCTCTGTTGGTGCTTTTGGTTGACCCCTCGCCGTCCCCTCCCATCTGCTCCCCTCTGATGTGTTTGTGATCACCTGGATGGCTTTGTAGCCTCCCACTACCAGCAAAGTTGCTTTGTTTTTCTCCGCTCCTGAGGGGGTTGGATGAGTGACGTCGGGTCTATTCGCTTGTTTTTTGGCTGGCTGTCTCTGTGGGCACAAGACAGGATAGACAGGCAATAAGTAAGGTACCAGCGTGCCTTCCGCAGCACAATCCTTGAGGTGCTCTCGGTCGGATCTTCTTTTTTTTTTTGCACTTGGCAGTTGGCCTTCGGCGCAGCTCCCAAAGCTTTCTGCAGGTCTGGGCTGTCCCTTCGGTGCCTGACATTGCCAAATATTCACAGGTTCACACTGACTGAATCTCTCCAGAACATTCCAGAACTAAATGGGAGGGAGGGAGTTAGGAGTGCGAACTGAGTTGGTAGCCATGCCTTAGGCACTATCCCTCCTGCCCTTCTCAGGAGTTCAGGCTGGGCCTCCCGGGTTCCGAAAGCGTCATCACCCGAAAAAAAAGGGAAGGGGGGAGCGGGCTCCACTCACTTCAGGGGCCGAATGACCATCTCATGCCAGCATGCCCTCGCAGTGGAAGGGGCGATGCTGGGATCTGTTGGGGACCGCCCCCTGAGTGAGGGGCAACGAATTGGGCGCAACTCCACCCTTGGTACTCTGAGGCTGAGACCGCAGAAACCCTTGCAAGCCCAAAAGTCAAGAACACCAGTGGCCCCGAGAAAGGACTGCAGTAATGCCTCGATACAGGATGGGATGTAACTACACGCATACAGGATGATATCCTCCATCACTTCGCAATGCCCGTTTGCCATTCCTCGTCACGTGCGGGTACGTCCTCGTTGTGGCACAGGAAGCAGAACGCACAGCAAATGCAGAAATACTCAGTTTTTTCGATGGACGTGATGGAACAAGGTTTTTGAGGCAGACCCTGAAGGGGCCATAAGGTCCAAGCCCACGTTGCATTGGTGAGCTATGGTGAGTTCGATTGCAAGACATTGCTGCGCAATTCTACTCATGCCCTCCTCCCGGAGGTCAGTGGGCGTGCCTGACCTTCAAGCGCTTGGGATCCCACAAAGGTTTGCGAAGGACAACAGAAGTCCAAAGCTTGTATGTATGTATGTATGTACGTACGTATGTATGTAAGTAAGTACGTATGTATGTATGTAGGAATGCAGGAATGCAGGAATGCACGAAGGTATGAATGTATCAATGTATGAGTGTATGAATGTGTGAATGTATGAATGTATGAATGAATGACTGAATGTATGCATGTCATCATTCTTCTTCTTCTTCTTCTTCTTCTTATTGTTATTGTTATTGTTATTGCTATTGTTATTGTTATTGTTATTGTTGTTGTTATTGTTATTATTATTGTTATTGTTATTGTTATTGTTCTTGTTATTGTTATTATTATTGTTATGGTTGTTGTTATTGTTATTGTTATTGCTATTGCTATTGCTATCGCTATTCTTCTTCTTCTTCTTATTTAACAGAAATCTCTCCGCAGGAGCTTTTGCAGCTGTCGGAGGCAGATGTCCGGACCCGGGCCGCGACTCCACCTGACAAGTCTGACAAGGACAAGGGCAAGACCAAGGGCAAAAGCAGCAAAAGCAAGGGTAAAAGCTGGCATGGAGACTACGAAGAGAGCCCTGGCCCCGCATATTGAAGTCCTCATCCAGGCAGTTCTGAAATACAGTTGTCTGTTGAATGCAACATCCCTTGAAGATTCGATCTAAGGAGTGGAAAAGGCAGCGACTATTGGACACAAAGCCATGATTCACAAGGCTGCGCATTTTTCTTGCGCGCCGTAGGACTGCAGGGTCTGGTAGACGACGTCGCTCAGAATCATGACAGTCACTTCGAAAGCGATTGAGTGTGGAGCTATTCCGACCCCAAAGATATCAGCATATCTGTGCGGTTGTCTCTTGGAGTGAAGCGTGGTGGACGTGCAGGCACCCCAAAACGCCACAGAGACGGAAATGACAAAGGCAAGGGCAAAGGCAAAGGCAAAGACGGCCACGACAAGAAAGGGGCCAAAGGCAGAGAAGGCAAAAGCAAGGACGCTCTCATCAGAGGTAGTTGGGTACATAAGCATTGTGTGGGGTGTTCCTTCAAAGGTTGAAGGATTCGTTTGCGGGCAAGGTGTGTAAGAGCACAGGCAGGCTCGTTTCAGTTTTATGCCTGGGGTGAGGAGCCTGAAGGTGACGGAGAGTATGTGCACAAGATTCATTTCGAAGTGGAGCAGCTGGATCAGCGCTTTCCACTAGCGGCCAAGCTCATCGGGAAAGGCAGAGGGTGTGCCAAGTTATGAAAGCATGTGATGCACATGGTGCAGGCATCAGCCCCTTCACATCCCCTTCACGTGACAGGTGGCCGCAATGTGAAGCACATCAGCGAGCAGACGGGTGCCGCCGTGTGGCTGTGCGGCCGCGGCTCGGGGCTGAGAGATCACGGCGGTGAGGATTCGGAACCGCTGCACATGCTGGTCAAGTCCCATGACAAGGACGGCCAGTGGACCTGTATAGGATTGTCTTAGAAGGGGCTTGCTCACAATGTCAGGAAGTGATGCCGGCACATGATGAGCTGAGAGCGCATGACGCCAAAATAGAAATACGGCGGTGCCGGATGGGTCTCAGACATTTCGACATACGGGTTCCAGCTTTGGGAGACGGGGTGGTGGCGGGGCGTGTACCCAGAATCCCGGCTTTACAGCCCAGAACGCCCAAATTGCAACTCAACAAGCCTACTTACTTGGAACGCAAAGACCTGAAGCCCCAGCATCATCCCTTAGAGCAACCATGCAAATTGGAAAGTGAGGCTGGTCGCAATATGGGCGTTCTCAAGCCAACTTCAAGACAGCGAAAGGAAAGAAAGAAGGAAAGTACGGAAGGGTTGAAGGGGTTAGGCTCCCATAACTTAGCCCGAACCTAGGCGTGTAGGTTTAAGGGTTTCAGGGGTTAGGGTTACATACTGGTACAAAATAAGACATGATTTACATTTCATGTAATCCATAAACATATTGTATTACATGGTGTGATATTACTAGATGTTATATGGCATCTGATTACTTGCTTCAAAGAAACAGAAGGAAAGAGAGAGACAGAGGCACTTGTCGTACATACTTCAAAGAAACAAAACGAAAGAGATAGACTCAGGTCGTCCAGTTGTAGAATGGGCTTTCTCAGGTCGTCCAGTTGCAGCATGGGCGTTCTCATGTCGTTCTGGTTGTAAAAATGCGGGGTGTAGGGCAACCGTGTACGTGCTGCGGACGAGGGGGAGGGGGGCAACATCCTGTGGGGGGGTGCGGGAGAGCACGGACCGGTGTGAGTGCGATATGTGGTTGACGCTGGACAAGGAGGGGACGCACGATAACCAGTTGATGGGAGAGGGTGCGGCGTGGACAAGGGGGAGCGTGATATCCGGGTGGAGTGTGGACAAGGAGGGGGGCCCTGATAGGTTGATGGGGAGTGCGCGGGGAGCTCGAAAATCCGGTGCGCGATATCCAGGGAGTGCGATTATGCTTGTTGAGTCTTGGACGAGGGGGGGGGGTGCGGGAGGCTGTAGCGAACGCCATGTCCGTTGACGGGGAGAGGCATGGAGAACTGGTCCGTGGCGGACGAAGGGGAAGGTTGCCGGTTGACGGGGTGTCCGGTGGACGGGGAGGATGCGGGGGCAATATCCGGTTGATGGGACGGGATGCAGTCGCCCGGGAGACGGGGGAGGGGAGAATTCGTCGCAGCCTTGCGGCGTCGCAATATGGAGCACAGGCACATCAGCGGAAAGACCAATGTCGTGTTGTTTGGTAGACGCCTGGGGGCGAGCCCGGGGTACTTTCTCCAACATCTGCCGCGAGATGCATCCAAGATTATTGTGATTCCTGCTGCCACTGCCGACTACCCGGGTTCTGTTTGCACTTGTCTGTGCGATATAGCTTACTTTTTTTCTACATCCAACACGTCGAAAAAGCATATTCTTATTAATAGTACCATGCAAACTAGAATTATTCATAATAGGCACGTTCCAATTGTTGCCATCAAATTCTGATATGTGTTAATGAACTGATAGTAACAGTGATATTTTCATGGTTTCAACAGTGTCATACTTATTGACTATTGCAAAATGATATTATAACATGCTATTTCTTTGCTGTGCTGAAATTTCTGAACAATCAACGTGTACCATCAGTGCTACATTCTTTTCAATAAGCTTTACAATGATCACACCGCTTATTCCGCATTGCTGGAACGGGAGAAGCTGGATCAATCAACCTGTGGGTAAGTTCTGGGTGGAAAGATTCGAGCGATACATGTTATTCTTTCAGTGGCATTTGGCTGGCCCCGTTTTCCGTTGCACGCACGGTGTAAGTGCACCTCTGGCCCTGGCGAGTCAAACTCTGGGTGGCATGGGTATAGCGGGAAGAACGGAGAGCCAACATGCGCCGCATAGTACAATGCATCCGTTACTGCTGTCAAAACTATTAGTTGTCATGGGAGCGAGGGTGGGGTGTCAACCCCCCCCCACCCTGCGCCTAGAACGCTGTGGTGGCATAGGCGCTTGCATCATGACCATTGGCTCTGGGCAGGCCGCGCTGGATGAGGCTGTCCAAATCACTGATGACCTCATTGACACAGTCATGGAGGAGTACAGTCAGTGGCTGGAGAGCGCCGATGCACAAGCGCCCGAGGGGGGAGGTGGGGAGCCGCATGAGAACAAAGAAGGCTGTTGCTCTTCTGCATGTTCAGTGAGCACGGACCTTTGCATGTCGCATCGTGTTGTAGCCAAGACTGCAGGCAGCGGTGCAGCTGTTCACGCCAGTATAGTATGAGTCAGTGCTGGGCAGGTTTGTTTGGAAGACGCTTGCTCACTACGGTTTTCCTCATGGATGGATGATCACGGGTTTTAGCCGGGTGGCAGAAGGACGTCTCAGACGATCTCAAGAGTAACAGGTGAGACAGGGCAAATCAAGACTGACCTAGCTTCACAGTCTTTCGCCGTGCCCGTGCACCATCACTTTGCCAGCCAAGGTTTTCACTGTGGGCAGCATGGGCACTTCGCGCGCGAGTGCCCTGAGAAGGGGAAAGGCAAAGGAGGCAAGGGCAAGAAAGGCAAGCGATCGTGGGATGATGCCAGTTATGCCAAGCGGGCAAGATATTCGTACTAGTCTTGCAAGTCCCGATCCCGCTGCATCATTCCTTCGAATGCTTCGGGTTCTGGCTTGGCATGCACCCTTGCAAGACTCAAGTCTCTTGCCAGTCAGACAAAAGCCAAACAGGCGCCTGGAATGTAAACCCTAAACCCTAAACCCTAAACCCTAAACCCTAAACCCTAAACCCTAAACCCTAAACCCTAAACCCTAAACCCTAAACCCTAAACCCTAAACCCTAAACCCTAAACCCTTTCTAGGTAGCTGGGACTCTTGTCCATGAGGCGCGCAGTCAAAGCCGTCAGTGTTGGAGCGCTCCCGTCGCACCTCCTCCAACACTGGAGTGCGAAATCAAGATCAGAGTCTGAACCCCTACAAGAGATGAGGATAATGGTTGGTAGTGACTGGTAGTGAGTATCCCCATCAACATGAAGGGGCTCAGGCTCAGGATATGCTGCCCGTAGCTGCATAGTCGGGATTAAACACAAGTTGTTCATGAACACATTGCCACCTTAGTCGTTGGTACGAATGGAATGGGCTTCCTGCACAAGGCATGGTGGCCGCCGCCGAGCGAAGACGTAGTTTCAAATTCCGGAACCGCTGCGATCTTATTGGGCAAAGACAAAAAGCTGCTAAGCTGCACCGCGCGATATGGTGGAAATGCATGCTTACCATGCCTTTTCGGCGTCTCACCCGATGGCTTTGCTAGGAGAAGACCTCCCGGGCCGGATGAGCTCTTACTCTGCGGATCCGGGTGTGGCAAGCCTCAGGACAGCGCCCCGGAGACCGCTCAAGCGCCGGCTTCCTCCCAATTCAAAAAAAGCCTAAACCCTAAACCCTAAACCCTAAACCCTAAACCCTAAACCCTAAACCCTAAACCCTAAACCCTAAACCCTAAACCCTAAACCCTCAACCCTAAACCCCAAAAAATGCTGTGTCTGTCACAGGTCGGTCGCCGAAGGCTTGTGCCTTAGGTCTCGTGAAACACAACAAGACCGTGGGGGCGGGCGCAGTAATGTGCAGTGCACTTCGAATGCCTTGCACTCTTTGAGAAGCACCGTTGAGGGCATCGGAGTTCTGGGCTCAGTGGAAGCGAAGATCAGGCAGTGGTCTCGGAGGGTTCTTTTGCGTCTCCTCTCATGATCAAATGGGAGGGGGGTTTCCGCAAATAGGGGTACCCTTTGCATTCTTTTTTTCGGAGGTTCGTATAATACGGATTGTAGCATTTTGGGGTATATTCGGGGTACCCCTATTTTGGGAGAAGCCCAAGTGACGCGTCAGCGTGGCCAGGGGGCTAGAAGCCAGGTTGGCGCTGGAGCCTTAAATGAGGGTGGACACGGACGTGCAGGGGCGCCAGGCCGTTGTTGTTTTTGCCTTTTGGGCTTTGCAAGGCAGATGCGGACGAAGAGATGCGGGCGCCTGAAGCTTTCCACATTGGAGCTTTTGAAGGTCGGTCGCGATCGTCACACAGTGATTTTATTGCAGGATGGGCAGCTACTTGAGTGATCACGTGGAGTTGCTATGCTTCAAGGTGGAGCGTTCAGAATCGGTCGGAGCACGGCAATCTTTTGATTTCAGTTGCAAATATGCTACACTTGCCACTTAACGGAGTTGAAGTTCGACGGGAGGCGCAGTCTTGGGTTCGCCAGCTCAGTGCCGTCATGGCCTCGGATGGCTGGGCTTTTGGTAGGCGTTGGCAGAGACCGAAACAAAGGGCATCAAACTTGTACATGAGAGCTTTGTTGGTATTCGTCGGTGCTTTTGCTGGCTCAGGGGCTGGACCCTTCGAATCGCTGTGGCCTCACCAGCTGTGATGCATATCTCCTCGGACGATGAATAACAAAGGTGGAGCCCTACAGACTGGAAGTGCGCGCTCCAGTCCAGCCTGCGTAAAGGCAAGGAGCACTTGCTTGCTGTAGCTACATGCGTACACGCGAGAGCTTGTGTCCAGACAGCACGTGACAGTCATTTCTGGGCCTTTTCTGTCCGCTCACAGGCTTCTCTAGAGTTCGACACGGTGGTTCGGTATCATCCAGTTGGTGTTGAGAGTTTTGGAATCGTTGATCTGCTCATGGACCCTACTGACACTGCCCATGCCGCGCATGTTCTTTTTTTGAAGGTTGCCTGCCTGACACTGTAGGGGTGCGATTGAATGCAGAATGTACAGTACGTGCAGCGCTTTGGTTCACTTATGTTGATATCAAACAGAATCGAGCCGCAAAAGAACATATTCCAAGTCACGTTGTCTGCTGTTTGGACTGACGCTAAGATCTTTGGGTGATCTTTGTTAGGGTGCAAAAATTCCACTCAGGCTTTGCGCACCTGTAGCCTCCTCGCTGGGCCAATTTGTCAGGGATTGTGCCATTTCTTGCGGCAATGGAAAGTTCAGACCCTTGTCCTCAAACGACCGCAAATCTGTGGGCGGTTGGGGTTGGCGCCGCAAGCCTCTAAAAGTGCACGGGACATCGGAGGGGGTATGATTTCGATTCCTGGGCGATGCCCAGAGCATGCCATTGGCGATGAAAGCCATGTTTCAACTCACCCCAAGAACTCCGGGCCTAAACCCGCGCCGAGGCGAGACCGCGGTTTTGGTTTGCGGTGCGGGATGGCAGGCTAAACCTCTTACCCTGGACGTAACAAGACATCGGCCTTCCCCGGCCCGAGATTCCTTCCGACCGTGGAGCAGTCACATGCAGTCACGCAGTCACTGCGTTGCAACGTCGAGTTGCTGTCGACTTGCAGGTGATGCCTGCCGCACCTCCTTTTACGCCAGCCTCCTGGGCTTGGCTGTGCTTTGGCGAGGGCTCAGCAGAAGCCCCAATAGGCCAGCAAGCATCCTGCAGGCCGAGATGCATTGGCATTCCGCTGGAAGCTGCAGGCACAGGGGGGCCGTTCGGGGCACAAGTTCATATTGCGTGTTTGCTATGTTTCGCCATTGCGCAGTTTGCATTCCATCTGCTTGTGAAAAAGACCTTGATGCAGTCAGGTGAGTCTTCGTCAATGGACATCAAGTTCAGCCCTGCTCGGGCCCTGGGGTCATCACTACTGAGTCATTACTATGCAGATTGATGCTGTTTGATGCTGTTTGCATAATGTGCAGCTCAGCCTGGGCTCAGACACGTTGCTGGTATCATTCGCATATATTCGCATCTTTGCAAGTCTGTTTACAACAGGGCTCGCCAAGTGAGGCATGCGACGGTAGGAACTCCCTGGAAATCCAAGAAGTGCTGCGTTTTACGATGGGACGCCGCCTGTGACTAGTGGCCATGTGGCAGACCTGCGAGCATGAGGGCGACAACTTCCAGGTTGCGAGACAGGGCTCCCACCTGCTCCAAAGGCCTGAGCTTCGAAGCTGATGTGGGTTTACGAGACTAGGGGGCCCCTACAATAGGCCTGATAGGAGGCTTCCCTTAAAATAAGGATCCGTAGCCTATCTGCGTGAGCTATCTTCACGTCCTTTGAGGTGCAGAAGTGCGCCGGCAAAAGGGAGGGAGAAGTCACACCAGAGGCGGGACGCCCTTTCGCGCGCCATGCACTCGCGCAAATTGCAGCTACAAAGCCCGCAATTTGCACGAAACCCTGCTTACGGTTGAAGCGTGCGTTTTTGTTGTTGTTTTTTTGAGCGATTCGCCTCGGTGGCAACGCTGTCTTCAAAGAGCGCGCAGCACAAAACTGGTTGGAAAGCATTGTTGGAATCTCAGCAAAACGGGGTTCACCTGGCTTTCGGATGGCTCGTTTGATCTCCGCACGGTGTCTTGGCACCCTGGGTACCGTAGACACACTTCTTGGTGAACTGGCTCCGCGTGTGCAAGATTTTCAATGAGTAAGGTTGAGTTTTTTTGGGAGAAGTTTCGGGTTTGGGCTTGCAGAGCTTAGCACGGGCAGATGCGGGCAGATACTCCCTCCCTGCTCACGCCCCGAAACCCCGCAGAAACGGGCGCCCAGCCAAAACATGTCCAATATTTTCATGTTGATCGGAAATGCAAAAAGTGGTGGCTGTGAGCTTGCACTCGTCCACACGCGAGTCGGTTGATTCATAGTGAACTAGCAGGTCCGTGAGCGACTCTGTAGTCGATTACTCCGCAAAATTCGACACTCACGAGATACGCATGTGCTGAGCCCTCGGCAGGTCGAACGTCCAGTTGAAGGATTCTTGGCGTGGCCTAGAAGATGAGCTTGCTCAAAGGCCTCGCAGCTTGCAGCGGGGTTGATCTGCTGTAGAAAGCGGCGAGGGAGGCCACCGAACTGCACGGGTTCCATCTGAGGCTGCAGCTCTTGGATGAGATCTTTGACTCCCTGGACGAGGTGCCTGGCAAGCAAAGCTGTCCAGGTGTTGGGAGACCGAAGAAGGCGGAGAGAGCGGAGATCGGCTCGGAGCCGAAGAGCAGACTTTCATCATCTTTTAGACATCTCTATCGTGCCAGTGGCGACCGGCGTGCAGCAAAAGCATCGGCAAAGAGACCGGTGCGCAGCGCGTCAGCTGCATCGGTCCGAGATGTCCAAGTCGCGCCTCTCAGCAAGGTCCCATCGTTGAAGCCCTTCAAGGGCCTCAAGGGCCTCAAGGGCGTAACCTCCCACGGCACACTCCGTGCAAGTGGTGCAAGCGGTGCAAGCACTGCTGGACATCCGCGTGCTGCAGAGGCTGAGGAGGCAGAAGCAGCGAAAGATGGCAGAGCTGTCCAGTTGGAGGAAGTTCGCGAAGAGAGGTCCAAGACTGGCTGTCATTTGCACAGGGCGCCCAGCGATTCAGGATCTGCAGTGGCTTGCTGTTCTTTGCATCTTTTTTGTTGTTTGCTTTCAGGTCGCACATGTGTAGACCTTGTCGCAATGTATGCAAGTCGGATCATGTGACTGAATCGGACCAAGGCGGGCAGGGATGCAGGCATGGCACCTGCTTCTTTGTGTTTCAAGTGCTTTCTGGGCGCCAGATGTGTTTTTTTATTTCATCGACGCCCATCGTCCTCGTTGCCCGCAGGTTCTCGTGAACTGCCTCTGTCGGAACGATCAGCTCCACCCGACCCAGCTGCTGTCGATGATGGCTCCGATTCGGAGGTGTACACGGACGACGAGTTCGAAGATGAGTAGCTCCTAGGTAGGATAAGGGGCACCCTTAGAAGGGAATCCTTCTGAACCCATTGAACCCTCTTCTGGCTCTTTTAAACAGGGACCTTGTTACGTCCCCACAGGGTCCCCCGAATCCTATCCCCGAGTAGCATGGCTTTTCAGAAGAGCTGAAAAGCCGTGCGGCAAGGCCAAGTTGAAGTGTGCAGCAGCCGCCGAAACCTGGCGAGCATGCATGAGAAAAGGGCCCACCAGTTGTTCTCGACTTGCCCGGTCGGCCTGCCATTACTATTGCTCATGTAAAGAGAAGCCGTCTGTTCCTAAGAGCCGTTGCAGTGTTTAGTTTAGTTCTCAGGATCTTGCAGATCCGAGTGCGTCAACGGCACCCGAGGCTCGGCAGAAACGCCTCCAAGAGTCTTTCAAGGTTCTGTGAGTTTGGGGGTTTCCGAAATGAGGGGGTGCCCTTTTTGGGGGTTCCTATAACAAAGATGATACCTATTTTGGGGGTACATGAAAGGGCACCCCTATCTGGGGAAGTACCCATTTTGCCAGGAGCTGGCTGAGCTGCGGAGTCGGCTTGGTCGTGTTGAAAAGGCACATGGCTTGGCATGGGCCGCTCTATGCCGCTCTCTTGGATTGACAATCTCGCCTGGATTGTCGGAGGCTCTGCAAGCCCGTTCTGCGCCGGGTTGGTCAAGCTCAGAGGTCGAGAGAGATTAGAAGAGTGGCGCACAGCCACTGCCATCGGCAATGCGCAGTGTTTCATGTTCGATTCCGTGTTCTAAATGGTCGAGGTGCTGAATCTGAGGGGCCGCTTGCAAACAGCTGCGCCCTCAGAAGTTTCTACGCGGGGTGAAGTTCAGGGTTTCTTCTGCTGATCGTTTCGAGTGACAGGTCGCGATTGAGGTGTCGGATTGAGGTTTCGAGACTTCTGGGCACACCCTTTCTGAGCCACGCCCCAAACTATGTCAAACCAGAATCCCTCACGCCGCTGGATTGAGCCTCCGGCCCCGACAACACGTCGTAACACCGAAGGCTTCGGCGCAAGGTGCGTCCTGCGAATTTTGGAGTGAGCCAAGCGTTAAGGTGGAGTCTGAGCTTGTGGACATTCGTGCTGAGCTGCGGGAGGTGCACGAAATTATGTGCCAAGCAGCTCCTCGTGAGACCGCACAACCAATGCACTGCACAGGCTTGTGCGACGATCTCGCACATGGCGTGCATGTGGGAGAGGATGGAGAAGCCGGAGGCTGCGGAGAGGCTGGGAAAGCCGAACACAGCTCTGCACAGGGTTCGCAGTATACATGAGCAAGACATCGACCTATCGAACAGAGCACAGCTCACTGCATAGGCTTAGCCCACCAGGTGCTGCACTCAGCAGTCTGTGACTGTGGAGTGCACGAGTGCATGGCCCCGATTGTTGCCCAAGCGCACACATGCCTACCGTGCAATCCTCTCCATACCGAGTTCCTTCCGTGTCCCCCATGCAGGATTCCAGGCCCTTGGTGGGATTTGAAGAGCGCTGTGCGGTTAGCCATGAAGAGTTCATGAATGGTGTATTTGTCAGGATCACCGGACGAGAAGACGCCAAGGCTCCAGAGAAGGCTCGCGGCGGCTGTTCGTCTTTTCCTGAAAATGAAGTTCGGCGGACTGCCTGGCTTCTCCGAAAGTTGCACTAAGATGGCAAGCAATGGGATGTGCTGTAAGCTCCATGTGAGGACTCGAGAGCTGCTTACCCAGGCCAAAGTGCAGGAACCTTGGCTTTCCCCCCAAAGCCATGGTCATCGAGGACAGAGCAAACAGAGCAAGCAGAGCAAGCATGCTTCATGCAATCGCAGCCGTTCTTGCTCTATTTCCTTCCCACAACATGCATATGGCGTCAGACTTTGCAGTCTGCCAAGGCTTTTGTTCCGGCATTGAAGTCCGACACAGCCTGACAAGTTGTACCCACTATTCCACCCTCGGCACAGCGCTTCGTTAGAATTCGCAATTCGTTTCGCCATGAGTCTGTTGGGCGCGGGCTATGATGACAGCGAGGGCGAAGAAAGTGCCGAACCGGCAGAGGCGAAAGTGCAGGCACGTGACTCCATTTTGCCGCGTTGTCCCGCTTTGTGCATTCTGCTCCTCAGTTGCCAGGTCGGGGCGGTCGGGGAGCCATCCCCAAATTCAGACACTGGTCGCACGCCCTGGAGAATCACTGCCTCCCATTCTAAAGACCACGTCTGTCTGCTTAGGTGGTGACCTGCAATCAGACGAAGCCTTGCTCAAGAAGAAGAAGGTCGCTTCAAGCCTGGCGTTTGCGCTGGTTTTTGCCCTTCCATGTGCATGATGAAGCTTGTCTGGCAGATTGACTATTCAAAGCTGCCTATGTCAAGGCACGAGTTTTGCATGCCCAGTTGTTCCATGCCGTCATCTTGCACTTTAGACAGGATTTCCAGAATTGTCCACAGGAAGGGAGGAAAGTTTTGGTAGCCCTAAACCCTAAACCCTAAACCCTAAACCCTAAACCCTAAACCCTAAACCCAAACCCTAAACCCTAAACCCTAAACCCTAAACCCTAAACCCTAAACCCTAAACGCTTGTGCCAGTGTGAGAGTCGAAACCCTAAACCCTAAACCCTAAACCCTTTTGGTAGCATGTCTCCGCAGCGCAGGCGGCTGAGCTTCGAGACGCCTCCCCAGATCGAGCAAGAGGAAGCACCCTTGAGGAAGGCGCCAGCGCACCAACAAGTTCTTGTTGCGGTCATTTCAAAAGGGGTTTCCCGGAAATAGGGGTACCTTATGGGGGGGTGCTTTTTACAAGGGAATCCTATTATTTGGGGGGTTTTTCGTAAAACCCCCAAATGAAACTGCTGACCCTCCCGTCAGGCAGCAGAGTTGGCGGCCAATCCGGTCGGCCAAAGTTTGCTTGCAGCTTTGCCTCCACCCAAGGCCTGCTTCCCAGAGTAGGATGTATGCTTTGGGATGTTCCAGCTTGTGCTAACAGTCCTCAATAGGGAGAATAGTACCCCCCGATTATGATCCCTAGTAAGGACTGCTAGTCTTGGGGGGAACATCCCAAGGTATGCTACTATCCCACAGGCCTTTCAAGTATGTTCTTGATCAGGTCACGCTGGGGAAGGAATCTGGATCGAGCTCCATTCGGCTGGATCTGGAAGATGACGCTGGGCAAAATTGCGTGCACGCCTCTTTCCTGGGGGTCATTTGCGGGTCTGTCATGCCATCTGAGGTGAAGCCAGCCAGGCCTAGAAAACGGCTCAGCAAGTGTGCCAGGCAACATCAGGCAGTGAGTGACCGAGCGGCCAGGAACAAGAGCACGGTGCCAGTGGAGGGACTTCTCCGTCCAGACAATTACACAGACTTGGACGAGGAGGCCTCGCCATTCGCCACACATCCAAATGCTCCGCATCTCTGCCCAAAGAGCCCAATATCCCTGAATTAAGGAATATGCCTTATCATAATAAGGATCCCTTTATAATTTCAGCTATATTCTTAATTAAGGGGTACTGGGCTCTCTGGGCATGTATCTGAAGTTGCTCTCGGCTCTTGAAGCGATGGTGGTAAATGATTTCGATCACGCCGTCGATGTCTGACGACAGGCTGCGCAAGTGCCTGACAACGTCCTCAACCATCCTATGTTCTCGGCCGACACGTTGCTTGCTTCAACGAGCCTCGAGACGTTTCACCTTCTTTGCATGACAAAAGTTGAAAACCATATTCCTTGTGATGTATAGACTTTTGCAGTATCCCAGGGCGCAGCCGGACGGTCCATCCGTAGACGACCTTCTGGAGTTGTCGCTTCGCTACGCTTGGGACGTGAAGAACTAACATGTGGAGTTCACAAATTCCCCTACTTTCGGAAACCCCATGTGGGTGTGTGGCAACTAAACAGCAGGATGCCGGTCATTTTGCATCCAAGGAGAAAGCCTCGGCAGTTTGTCGAGGTCAACGCAGATGATATGAAGGCAAACTAGCTACTCAGTCACACTTGACCCCTGCATGGGATTTGTGGAGCAGACCTTGCATGACCGTGACTGCAGGTGGCGGGTGCAAACGGAATGCACATGCATATTTGGCATGGACGGCTGCATGCATGGCTTCGTGAGGACCCCGACTGGTACATGAAAAACCAGATTGCCGCTGGCCCCGGGCTTCTGGCAAAGAAGCGGGTGTCCGATGACGTCTCCATGTGCGCCAGTGGTTCGCAGATGCCTTCTTGTTGCATACTCCCAGCTGTTGCAGTGGAGGTTTGATGGAAGAGGTTGGCGTCAGACTACGCATGCAAACCCCAGCAAAACCCAGAAGCGGAAGCACCAGATCAATTGGCTACCTGGCTGCAACTGGTTGCTTGTCGTCGGTCTGCTGAAGACCGAACCAGGATGCACGTGTGGCCTTGCCAATCTGTTGTTCATTTGAACAGTTAGATGGTGGAGCAGCAGCAGCAGCAGTAGCCGTACGTAATCGTGGTGGTGGTGGTGGTGGCAGTGGTAATGGTAGGAGTAGGAGTAGGAGTAGGAGTAGGAGTAGGAGTTGGACTCGGACTCGGACTCGGAGTAGGAGTAGCGGTATTGGTGGTGGCGGTCGTGGGAGTGTTCTGAGGCTTGCGACTGAAGCCATGGAACAAGAAGCCGAGATGCTGGATCGCGGACAGCAAAAGATTTTGTCGAAGGCCTGCGGGGAAAAGTATTTGGTTCTATACGACTAAATCCTGCCGGCACGTGCGCGGTCTGTTGCAAGTTGAAGATCACAGCGGTCTCAGACCGGAAAATTGCTAGGCCTGTCGGAGACTTCCATCTTATGTGCTAGGCGCAGACACACGCCAAGTATGGCTGGTGAAGTCCGCTGGTGAAGTCCGCAGCGTGTCGACGTTGCCTCCTGAAGACTTGCAAGGCCCAGCCTGGCGAGCAGCACGGTTAGTATTCTTGCAGCCTCCTGCTTGCAAAAGACTGTGCAGGTGCCGCAGGTCCCAACGGCCAACTTTGAATGGGCCCTGGATGTTGTGAGATGGCACAAAGTGCCTTCTTGTAGCTGCCGAGAGAATCACAGCAGTTTCAGGCTCAGGGTGCACCTTGCAAAACAAATCGCCGTGTGCCTTTGGATCTTGCCACCATCGACCTGTGGGAACGAGTGCGGGAACCATTCAAGCAAGAACCACTGAGGTGCGAAACTTCATCGACATCCCTCCATCGGCTTCTCCACGCAAGCCAGTCTACCCGTTCATGGCCCCTTGCCACGAAAGAGTGACCAGCGCAGTGCCGGCTTGCAGCATTCAGCCACGACCTAGTGCCTCTGATGCCAGGTGCCAGGGACAGCAGTTCGCTCGCAGGTCTCGCAGTGCAATGGCTTGTGGCATCTTGTGATATTCGTGACTCTACATGTACTTCTCAGAGTCTCAGGTGCAGCCTTCCCAGGCCTGCCCCATCACCACCCACAGCACAGGCTCCAAAAGCTTCTGAACATTGTCGAGCAAGGGGATGCGTTGCTTTTCCAGTAGCAGGACTGACTGGGTACGTCCAGCGACCAGTTCACTCTGCGGTCCTTCGGGTGCGCTGCCGTCATTGACAGCCCGAAATTCTGGGGCAGCCACTCTCCACTGAGGTCGCCACACCCCCGCAGACAGTCCGAGCTCCAGCGCTGAGCTAAGATGCGTGTGGAAGTCAACTCAGCGTGCAAGTGCTGCAGAGAGGGGATGTGTGACCGGGGGAGAGGTATTGTTTTTGGCTGCAGCATCTGGAAAGGCCCAATGTGTTGAATTACAATGCAAGAAACCAGGAGACGCTGTAATTTACAGCATGCTGTGCGGTGAAGCACCGTGCCACTGCGCATTTCACAGCACTTGAAGCCTGTGCGGAGATGTCGAGCACTTCGAGAAGCTGTGATTCACAGCATGGAGCCATCGCATGCGCCAAACGATGCAATGTTTAGCAGCGGTCGAACATCTCGAAATGCACATCCGAAACCTTAAAGGGGATCCGCCCTACAAGGAATAGAAGTGTACCATGTCGAAGAGGGATAGGCCTGTGTCTTTCAGCATTGTGAGGCTTCGGCGGCGCCGCAAGTTAATGGTGCCTAGGCTTGCTACCCGTGCATTGAAGAAGAGAACATGCTGTATCCTGCTTGTCTCGCTTGAGTTGCTGGCTTGTTCTCTGTCAAGGGATGACATAAAAACATCAGGGTTCATATGCCCCGGCTTGTCCTGGCAGTGTGGCTCGGACCAGCTAGACAGGTGGCAGCAACAACGGAACAGGGGGAGGGCAATCGGGCCCAACTGATTCCGGTTCTGGGCCAGATCAGAGATCTGAAGAGGCAAGATGAAGGGAAGATGGAGAATGGAGAGGCGCGCTCTATACAAGTCTGGCATCGGGACCTCATCTACTGGTATCAGCTCAACTGCCAAAAGGTGTTGTCTTTTTGCCTGCTTCCCTGTGTTTGGAGAGTATGCAGCCTCAATTCATGAATACATTGGATGGTCCTGAATGCCGGAATGCCATCATGAACAAGTGCAGGTGCAACGAAAATTAGGAAGCGATGCTGTGCAAGCTACTCCAAGTTCATGCTTGTCTGAAGTGTGCAGGTGCACGACCATGCAAACGGCGGGAGCATTCTCGCCAGCAGGGACGAAAACAAACGACAGGTTGAAAAGATCATTCGGAAGGGGGGGAGGTGGAGACTCGGTTCATCAAGGATGCATTGGCCGGGGAAGGGGCAAAGGAAAAAAAGAGTTGTTTGCTTATGTTTGAGAGAGTAAAGTGAGTGTTGCATCACATCGCCCCTTCAAAACGCTTGAAATCAGGGTGGGGGGGTGCGGCATGAAGTATTGCAACCAGGAGGGTTTGCGAAATGGGGGGGGGGGAGGGGTGACGGCCTGAAAGCATGCCATCTGAGATCGCCGTGTCTTTTTCAGGAGTCGCGCGGGCAAGAAAGTGCAACTGTGGCTTCTGGGATGTGCTTCCATGTCTACTTGTGCAGTGGAGTGAGGTGGGTGAAAGCAAACTCGAATTGTGGCCATCATGCGAAGTTTGAATGCTGCCACTGTATCAAGTATCGCACACCTCCTGTGCAAAAACGTAAAACCGCAGTGGAGACCCATTTTTCCATTCCACACTTGTCCCTTCTTCGCTTGGGGGGCCGCCTCCATTTTTTCGGTTTCGCACTCGTTCTTCGCTCCGCAAGGGCCCGAAACCCGTATAGGCTCAGCAACGCCAAGCATATGCTGAGCCTAGGCCTGGGAGAGCATAACAGAACGGCTCATCATAAGAAAGCGTCATAAGACAACAGCGAAGGCAAAGAAAAAATGGGAAAACCAGGGCCAAAATAACCGCTTCCAGCAGCTCGTAGTAACTGTGCTGTAGACCTTGTGCTTTTGGGACCAAATCGTTGAAGCAGTGCACCCGTAAAGGATTAAAGGATTGGAAGCGGCAGCACAAAGCTGTTTGCATGGGCAGCAAAAGATAAAGGCCTTTTCTCACTCCTCCAGGATGAGGGCAAAGCCGGTCGCAACTAAGCGGGTTCCCTGCGCCTGGGATCACCTCGGCAGGAGAGAGAGAGAGAGAGAGAGAGAGAGAGTATGACAACGTGGCCCAATCCCCATGTCACCAATGGTCATGCTGACACGAGAGCATGGCTGAGGCCCAACCGCTCTTGAGGCCAGCTATGGCAGCTCAAGGTGGACCTTCAGCACGGGAGTTCCCAGAGAGCCCAAATACCCCTTAATTAAGGAATACAGCCTAATTCATAAAGGGATCCTTATTATGATTTAAGGAATATTCTTTAGTTAAGGGGCATTGGGCTCTTTGGGTTCTGGAGTTCAAAAATCTTCCGTCCCAAGTTGCGCAGTCTTTGGCGGAGTCGAAGGTCCCCCGATGTCTCCAGCCTGGTCCAAAGCTTAGCAGCATCTGGTCATGTCCAGATGTTGAAACCCTAAACCCTAAGCCCTAAGCCCTAAACCCTAAACCCTAAAGCTGTGGAAGAGCCAAAGCGCAATGTTTCAGGCATTGGCAGCTGGGTCCTTGTGCAATGTCTTCAAGGTAGCTTGGTGGACCAGGCCGTGAACCAACTCCGGCAAAATCTCCGTTTTGAGTGCTGACACACGCTCGAGGCAGCTAGCCGTTCTGCCGAAGTCGGAGCAGGAGGGGTTCCTATAATGAGGATTTTGGCATTTGGGGGTGTACGAGGGGGTACCCCCAATTATGGGAAAGGCCGATTTTTCTGGCAGGTGTCCACTCCGGGAAAATGTTCCCTTTTACACCTTCCGAGAGCTGCCAGTGGCAAGGACACGTGGAACCAACTGAACCATGCCCAGAGAGTTGAGATGAATACATGGTCGGTTTTGCTCAATGCCTCCAGTTTTTTGTTCTGGCTATCCTGGCCGTGGTTTCTGCCCCGAAACCAATTCCAGAGAAACAATGATCTCTGTACCTGACTAGCTCAGCTACTTGGAATAAAGGCTCTGGCAACACTCATCGCGGTCTTGGCTTTCAAGAGATGGATAGCCTGGATAGCCATCCGAATTTGTTTTTGCACGTCTCTGCCATGAGAGCGCCAATGAATCTTGCACGAAAGTGTTTCAGCTGCAGGCAATGACAACCATCCGCATTTGGTCGTCAGGGCTGTTAGATCGCAGTATATGCGTGGTTCCGCTTTTTTTTTTGAGTTGTTTTTTGTTTTTAGCAAGCCTTACCAAGAGCACCCTAAACCATGCAAAACCCTGAACCCTAAAACCAAACTAACCCTCCAAAAAGCTCTAAGCTTTAGGGTTTAGGGATAGGGTGCTTTAGGGCTGAAGGTGTTGAGGGCTAATTTGCCCGGGGAGGGGGGGGGTGGTTCTAGGGCTTGGAGCGTTCTGCTTTAGGGTGGGTTCAGGGTTTAAGATTCGGCCTTCTTCAGGGCTTTAGGGGAGTTTTAATTTTAAACTACAAAATGTGGCTAGGCGGGTGGCAAAAAAGCCACCCCGCCCCCCCCCCCCCCCCCCCCCCCAAAAAAAAAACAACAAAACAAACTTACAAACAACAAAGAAAGACAAACATTATGGGTTCCGTTAGTTTTGGTACCAACATGCAGCATGCGGTATAGTGTTGTAGACATCTGCATGGGTATGTTTCCCCTATACAACCCCCTATATGCCTTGCATCGTCCCTACACACCTAAGTCGCCCCTAAATAACCCCTTGACAGCCCCTAAATCGCCCCTGAGCCCCGAAATAACCCCCTAAATAACCACTAAGGTCCCTTGTAAGGGGTCCCTAAGTAGTAACCCCTTGCAAGGGTCCCTAATTTAGTCCCTTGGTATGTTGCCTGGCGGCGAAGTGGCGGCCCTGGAGCGCACCGGAAAAGTATCTGACGTTGGCAGTTCATGTTGGGGACCTTGCCCCCTTATGCGGACCGTCCTTAATAGGGATTATAATGGGACTGTGATCCCTTTTAAGGCCTGTTAGCATAAGGGGGAACATCCCAAAGTTCATGTCTAGACATGCGCACGAAAAAACAAAGCATGTGCGAACTCGTGTCACGAGTGCCAGTTGGCGGAGCTTGCGAATCCTTTTTGGCATGGAGGCTCAACCCCCGAATGTTTCGTTTCACCGATGAGGAAGCAGCATGGCTGCTGCTGTGACGGCGCCTAGGCTGCATATTACCTATTGGCAGCACATGCGGCAGCCCCCCGCAGCTGCATGTTGGCAATCTGCCAGTCAGAATTGCCAGGCCGTGTCGCCGTTGCAGCTGGCACCGCTCCACCCAAAGTGGTAGAGGAATTGCAGTAGATCCCAGTAAAGAGATCATTGTTTGTGCTGTCCAAATTGAGAGACGAGAGACCTTAGTGGTGGCCCTGGGCCAGTCTTGATAATGATGGCAGTACCGATGTGACACCTGATGCATAAGATCTACGAACCCACAGCATCACACCATGCACGCAGAATCCAGTTCATAGCAATGGACTGCTTTCTCTCCAGCTTGGCAGGTGTCAGCCTCTGTTTGGGGTGACGTTCTGCAGGCGTGCTGTGACGCCACCCAGCCAAAGCGTGCCTTTGCAAGGTCTTCTCCTCGCACGGAGTCAAGATGCGAGCCCGACAAGTTGTGCTTTCGCAAGGGCCAGAACTGCACAAAAACACCTTCAAAAACAAAGACCGAGCAGCTTAAAGTCGGTGTTTCTGCGCAGCTTGTGCCTAGACTAGGCTGCTCTCTGTCACGAGTTGCGGGCACAGCCAGGCGGTCGTGTTGGGCAACGACTTCCTGTCGCCAGGGCCTGGGCAAGCGCAGCGCGGCACTCCCTGCAAGCAGTTGCATGATGTTGCATTTGCAAAGCATCAGGTCGTTTGCCGCACCCTTATTTAACGACACGCACGCAATGTGCAAAATTGGCCAGCACGGCACCATGGAAAACCTCCGACGGTCGCATAAGGTTGCGGTCAGCGGCGATGCCCATCAAGCCAAAGTTGCGCAGGTGCAGATGCTGCCCCCGGCCCCACAGAGAAGCCAGCAATGCCGACAGTTGTCAGGACCTATTTCGCCAGGAAGCCTGGAACTCAGCAAAGGCATGTCGTCCAAGGGAAGCACTAAATAGATGCGGTTCTCCACTGCAGGTGCGGTACGAACGATCGCTGCAAATACGTGAAGACATTCGTGACGTCAACAAATGCATGTGCCTTGTCGGCATATTTAGAGGACTTCACCGCTGTGGGCGATGCTTTGTGATGGCCAATGCTAAGGATGGAGAGCGCAAGGTGCCCAGTTCGAAGTGGGCCAGAGCTTTTATGGCAGTGGCGAACTTCTTTCAGCACAGACTCGAAGGTCCAAACCCATGTCCTCATGGGCAGCATCATTCTTGCCGTGTGCTTCAGCATGTCGATCGAAGGGTACCCGGGTGTTCGCACGGACCGCTGGCACATTGTGTGGCAGTGTGGCAGTAGTCATCATGCTTATGCAAAAGCCTGGGTTTGTAGTCGGTCGATCTGCCCCAAACAAGTCGTTTAGAAGTTTGGTTTGTGCTAATTTCTTGGTGTCAGGAGCGCTTGCTGGACCTGCTTTGGCTGCTTTTCACATCTTGGGCCTCAACGATGCGGGCCCAGCATGAGATGATGTGGCATGGACACGCAGATTCGTCCCGTGGCGGAGCAACCAGCCGGTTGCAGCTGAGCTGAGGTTCACTTTTGTGGCTTTGTGGCTGGCCCTACGCTTTCAGATGAAGATTTCAGGAAGTGCACGCGAACGCTTGCTGCGGTCTGCAGCTTTGTCTGTTGTCTTTCGGCTGATGCGTTCTCATGTAGTCAAGTGGGTGTAGGATGGGGGGGGGGGCGCTGACATTCAGGCGCCATCGATTCATGGTTCCTGACGATCTTGTTGTTGGCAAGTGGCGGTCTGAGCTGGCGCAGAGGGACAGAGCCACCAGACGCGTTCCGGCTTCGATTCCTGTTGTGAGCTGGGGCTGCCAGGATGGGTGGGGAAAACTTGGTCAACCAGATGGCAAACTTCCACAGTTGGGCGCCTTCAGCTGCAGTTGCCGAGTTCTTTCGCAGGGTCTGCTGGCGAAACATCCAGAACAGATGTGATCTGGCAGGTGCTTGAAACCATGGATGACATGGTGTCAGCCCAGACAGACGAGGAGCCCCTAGGAAGGCAACTCACACAACCTGCAAGAATCAGAAGGGCGCGCACACGTTGAAGGAGACGCTGCGCGAGAAGTGCCAGCCCATCTTCTTGAAGCACCTCATCCTCTAAGTGACCATTTGGGTCTGTTCAGGGTTTAGGGTTCAGGGTTTAGGGTTCAAGACAGAGCCCGGATGCAAAAAGGGTTCAAGACATCCTCCCGCTGTTTGAGGCAAGCTGCTCGCCCACTCCGCGTCCCCGTGCCTCGCCCGGTGAGTGTCATACACTCCTCAAACGCACGAGTGTCGCGTGGAGTCACAGGTGGAAAGCTTGGATGTGAAGGATGTTGACGCTGAGTGCGATGCTTTCTTGCTTTACCGTGTGGTGTGAACGGTTGACAGCTCGCACTTGCACAGCCTGCAAGTTTTCATGCACATCTCCGATTTCCCAGTGCCGCCCGTTTTTTAGGCCATTGCGGAAAGGTTTTCATGCTTGGCACCACGAAAACGGCAAGGCACATGCTTGCTTCCCGGATGTTTGTAATCGCTCTGGTGGCCTGCTCGCGAGGGCTATTCGCAGAACAAAACACTGGAAGTGCCATACTTCCTGGTTGGAGAAACATGTGTGTCAGCAGCCCAGTGCCGTGCATTTGCTACTTGCCATTCCTTCACCTACCCTGCGCGCAGGCGCATGCCGTGGCTGATGCTTGCAAACGGGCCATCGCTCAAGATCAGAGTGCAGCAGCCTTGCAGTACTGCAGAGGTTGGTGTAGTGTTGCAGATGTACGGAGTGCTTGCACCAGTGGCTCTGGCTTTAGTAAGGTATGGCGACGCGACTCTGTATGCGCAGGGCTCAGTTGGTTTGTGCCGCAAGACCGCTCTGATGTTCGCACCGTGCGACCGCCAACGCAGTGTGGAGCACATTGTCCATTCGTGTGGGCTGCCAGCTACATGTCGGAGCAGTCGTGGACTGTCAAATGGTAGCTTTGGGGTCACAGGCGTTGCAGACGTGGGGAGTTTTGTAGCAAGTGGTCTTTCGAATTGGCTGGACACGGATAAGCGCCATGCGCTCCAATTTGGATTAGATCAGGGTTCAGATCGGGCGTGGAGCGGTCCAGGAAGGAAAGGGCGGTCCCAGGAATGAGCGGCCAACCCAGGCGTGTGGTTTCATCAGTTGCTTGTACTCATTTTTTCGCTCCCCCCATTCCCGGAAGGCCGCCGCGATTGTGGCTGGTAGCGCATCCATTTTAGAACCTTGAGCTTTCTGCCACACAGCCGTCACTCCTAAGATCCGTATCAGAGCCCATTTCAATCAAAGCCTGCAAGGCTTACAGAGCGCCGATCCGAGACGGAGAGAGTCTGAGACAGTCTGAGAGACTTGCTCGCGCAGTGATGGAGTCCAAAACAATTTACAAAGGTGGATGAAAACATGTTCTCTGAGTGATTTTTTTACACGTTCTCTGAGACAGGTCCTCCCTCTTAAAGAGTGAACTGAGAGAATTCGTTGACATTGGTGTGTGCGTGTGTCTCTGTGTGTGTGTGTGTGTTTTTGTGTGTGTGTTTTTCTTTTAGTGGATGAAGATTTTCGCCATTTGCGAGGTGTCTGCGCAAGTAGTCCCAGGCCTGCACTCACGAGCTGGCTTATGAACCCTGGCTTCCTGACTGCTTGGCGCAGGCGATGCGCCCCTGCCGCAGCCGTCGGAGAGGAAGTCGAAGGGGTCCTACACTTCGGGAGGATCATCGCCCCACAGCCCTGTAAGTGTCGGGATCCTGAGCTGACGGGCGAAGCACAGGAAAGGAACACCATTATCATTATCATTAGCATTATTATTATTATTATCATGAGTATTTTTTAATTCGTCTTTATCATTATTCTTCTGATCACAATGATTATGATTACACATGCTTTGAGGCAGCTGGGGTGCGGAAGGCCTTGCGCCTGGAAAGCACCGTGCCGGCGTGGCCCGCGGACGAGCTCCCGCTGGCCCGGACAAAGGGAAGCAGTGGGGCTGGGGTTTAGGGTTTGTTGATGGAAAAAGAGGGTTTATGGTTTAGGGTTTAGGGTCTAGGGTTTAGGGTTTAGGATTTGTATAGGGTTTAGGGTTTAGGGTTCAGGGTTTGCTGGGGCCGCCACGAGCCGAAGCAGCTTTGTGTGGTTCAATGGCTGCAGGTTCGCACCGGCTTCAATGAGAAGTGGCGAGGTGGGACCTATGGAGACTCAGGGGAGCAGGGGTGCCCAAATCCTTGTGAGGTGAAAGCGGCTATGGCGAATTTCGGCGAGTTGAAGGGTTTTCCATCTTCGTAGACACACAGAATGCCATGGTCAGCAGCTCAGCTCAGCAGAAAGGGTTGATTTGGAGAGGGCCTTGCATAGCAAGAGTTGCCAGGAACTCCCTCTCTACAAGATTGTGCTGGCCAGTCCAAGCGAGTTTGATGAGGAGTACATCGATGCGCCCTGACTTGTCTGATTGTCTGCAGCTACCCGTGGCCCCATGCCGGAATGCCTTCCAGGTCGTCATCCAGTGGAACTTCAAGACAGCATGCGAGGCCGATGCCCATCTGCAACCGCCTCCCTTTTAGGATTTAGGGTTTAGGGTTTAGGGTTAGGGTTTAGGGTTTAGGGTTTAGGGCTCAGGGTTTAAGGTTTAGGGTTGAAGGTTCAGGAAACCAGTCCTAGCCGTAAAAAAGGGTTTAGGGTTTAGTTAAATCAAGGTGTTTCGATTGAAACAACTGTTTTTCGAGTGCTCTTACTACGTTTGTCTCCGCATTTCTAACCCCATGTGATTACCAGGTAATCCTGTGTACTGGCTGAGGTCATGACCTGTGCTGGATCGACAACTTATATATGGCTAGGGAAAAGTATATCTGCCAACAAAGCAGTTAAAAAAAAAAAAAAAAACAAACTTGGCCTTTCGCCTTAGGAGAGTGCCATGCAGGGGCTTGTGACACGTTGTGCTTGTTGCATGCCCGTGGACATCCAGATTCTCAATGTCCATTCGTTGGGAAGGGTTGTATTTCATTTGCTTGCGTTTCTTCTGGATCCCTGAGACATTGCCTTTTTTTGGAGGGCTTGTCTGGCATGAAAAAGCAACTCCCAAACCCGAAAAGCAATGAGGGAACGAATCCACAGTAAGAGCTTGGATTGCGACGTTTGGTTTTTTTGGGGGTCTTTTTTGCCGGTACACTCATGGTACATGTGTGTTGGGGGCCGAAGGAAATATTCTCGTTTTTGGAAATGGTCCCTTATCCGCGTTCGAGTAGCCCCTGGGAGGCTTTTGGAAGGCACTGACAGCTTGTGCAAAGTTATCTGCTCACAGTATTCCCGTGCCCGCCGGGACATACGGTTGAGGTCTGGTCGTCTCGAAGGGCATGTTACTGTTGCGGAGCATGTGTTCCATCCGTTGTAGCTGAGAGTTGCAGCAGGCGCTAACTGTAGTGCTGCGTCGTGGTCACGTGCATTGCAAAGAGGAGGCTGCGGCCCCAGCCAGACATGGCATCCAGCGTTGCCATGCCGAGCCGACAGTTGACTTTCCTCAGGACTTTCCGCTCTTCGAGTTTAATACGGAAGTGAAGAAGCGCTGGCCTGAATGTGTTTGGCATGGCATTTGACATGATGCAGTGTGGTCGTGTGTCCGAAGTATAGTGGAGATGCAAGTTTCCATCATGATCACTGCGTTGGAGCTTAAAGTCAAACGTTTTGAGGATGCTGCCTTTGAGACGCTATGTCCGGTGCTTGGGCCACCTTCGATCACGGAACCTGGCAAGACATGGCTCCACCTTGATGTATCCAAGTTCGAGGCAGGAAACTTCCTAGCTGAAGGCACCATTTGCCTTCTAGCTGCAGCCCCAGTGGTTGCAACAAAACGGATGGCAGCAGACTCAGCAGATGGCAGCTGCACCACAGCTCAGGTCGCGACCTGTCTGCTGATGACGGGCAGGATGTATAACCTCAACATTCAGGCAGGAACTCCCTGGGCGAAGGGAGCCCCAGCTTTCGCCGCCTTCAGCCACGCAAAAAATCTGCAGGCAGGCATGCCATGCCAAACGTGAGTCGCAGTCTGCCAGTTGTCGAGGTTCGAAGTCGCCTTGTCCTTTGCCGCGCTTTTGCCAGGATGCGCCGGAAGCCTGAATTTTCATGATCGTGGGTTGTAGCGGCGGCTTGCTTCCTCGGGTCCTGGTCAAGGTGCTGCTGCGAATCATGCCTGTTGAGACGGCGCACAGCGAGGTCCCTTTGAGTTGTCCCATCATCAGGCTCTTGCAGTTCATGAACGCCCTGTGCAGGTGCTGCAGATCTCAGACCTGAACGTGCTGCCCATAGTTTCGCACTGCAGCCTTGCTGAAGCGATGCCTTGTCGCGATTATGGACATCTTCTGAATCCAAAGCCCCTGATAAGGAACCGAAGCAGTCATTCTTTACACAGTTCCGACGGACGATGTCTGGACACGCTGTGCATCCTGGCGTGAAAGGAAGGGCTCAGAGTCGTCAGCATTCAGTTTGCTTAGCAGTTTGACTCATGTCTTCCAGCCTCAGGCGCATTTAGGCTCATGGGGAGCTGAGCCTTATGAGTTGAACTCTTAGGGCCTCAGGCTGTCCACTTGAATGCCCGGGGAGGGGTACAAAAGAGGTGCCCAGAGACTCCAAAACCCCTTGATTAAGGAATATACCTTAAATTATAATAGGAACCCCAATATGATTTAAGGTATATTCCTTAATTAAGGGGTTTTGGAGTCTCTGGGTGTGCGGAGGAAGAGGAGTCTGGGTCTCCAAAGCTTTGCGGCACAACGCTCCCCACAACGGCAACGCTTCACTCGTCTCCGGGAGAGTGGCAGACCATTTCTGCACAGTCAGAGCATTGTTTACAGAGAGCACGGAAACAAAGAATGCCAGTATTTCAGAGAGTGTCAAAGACGAGGCAGCCTAAAGTTTTAGGAGAGCGATCAGTCGGCAAGAGCCTGTCCGGCTCTTCAGGGATGTCTCGCGAGATGTTTCTGCAGGCTCACCTTGTCGAATCTTCAGTTGGTTCGGCGTTCTCGGCGTTCTCGCATCAATTGCCGCCCCCAGGTCAAGCAACTCAATCAATCCTTCTCAAGTCCCCAGAGCACAATCCAACCTGCGGTTGCAGAAAAAATGTCTGTTTAGAACCTTGTAGAACCTTCTGGATTCTGGAAGCACAGAGGCCTTGCAAAGTGCTCGTAAGACATTTGCGAGTCGGGTCTTTGATTGAAAGAAGAGCGTGCGAATCGACGTTCTGTGCCCAAAAGCTTGATTACCTTCGACGTATGTTGCGTGGCGTTTGCTGTGGTTTGTGCACAAATCTGCCTACACACCAATGTCAGCCAGAATGCATTCCAAGGAATCGCTCTGCACGGGCCTTACGTGACCGAGCGGCAGCACATGGCGGTACCTTTGTCAGAAGCTATCATATCGGCTTCAGCACAGGGTCTGGATCTGGGGATGGCCATGAAGCGCCTGAACTCCCGCGCGCTGGCCTTAGAGTAGCAGCTGGTGTGCTCTTGTGGCTCTGATTCAGCTGCTTGGGTCTCTCCGGTGGACAAGTTGGGGGGTTGACCGGTCAGGACTCTGGCGCAGCTCACTCGGACAGCGCTGGCTCCGAGTTGGACGAGGACCCGTGCTTAATTTGAATTTGTTTCTGTAGCGCATCGCTCCATGAGATTTTGGCTTGTGAAGGAGAATTATACATCCGACTTGGCTGACCGGCTGGCTTCTGGGCTCAATCAGTGGACCACTGGGACCAAGGAATTTTGTACGTGTTGTCAGGAGCTTTTTGGCCTTCAGTTGGACGCCCCAAAAGACTGGGATTCAGGATCTGAACATATTGGCCTGGTCTTTGCGTTGTTGCCAAGCACACTGCGCAATAAGGCAGAGCTAGGCAGGTGTTTGTTTTGGGGGAACGCGCACGGTCAAAACACATTCGTCTTTAGAGTTTTCGGATGTGTTTTCGAATGTCGCCGATCAGAAGGACGAACATGTTTCATCACGAAGGAACTTAGGATCTCTGAACAGAAAGGCCCAGCCTCCCATAAGGGCAGGACCAGAGAGCAGCGCGCGCTTTCAATGATGAAGCATCAGGCTGCCATGGAAGCACTCGAGAGGTCAGGTTCCGAAGATGAAAGCGTGGGCCTTGGAGCGACATTTCGTGTGTCTCTGTATGGGCCCAGCCTGAGGTGCTGTTGGCCAATCGGGCTTTGGTGACCTTGAGGTGCCCCTGTTCCGTTCCGTTGCACCGCTTGCACAACGAGTTTATCTGTTCGCGGCTTGATCAGGGCGCTTCGCCAAGCTCCGCTTCTATCCAGCGCAATGAAATGCCGGCGTCTTAGACCGTCTAGAGAAATTTGCTGGACACCTGTGTGGTTGCGCTTTGATGCAGGTCTTCTGTGTCCTTTGGATGCTGCTCTCCGGAGCTGCGAGCTCAGCGCGAAGTGCAAAGCAAATGCGCCGGAGATTCGGTGGTCGTGTTGTTTGCAGAGGTCGGCCCCCTGCCGAGAAGTCATCAAGGCCGCTAGTTCTCAGGCGCCACAGTGCTCCAGAGCGTGCAGCGCGGAATTCAATCGCCACCATGCCCTGCCGACAGGTGAATGCGGTGACGGCGAGTTGTCAGAATGTGTGGCGTGTCCTTTCGCGGCACTTGTGACAGTGCTGAATTGCAGCCTTGGGACTTGGACACCCACTAGCATCGAAGGTGCCTCCAGATTCGCAAGCGGGCACGAAGCGGTGGCGCCGGAGAGCTTGTAGCCTCAGCCGGCAGATGCTCTTGCTTCGGCCATGAATGACTTCAGATGTGCCACTTCCAAAGCCCATGTCGTCAAAGGTGTCAGCTTCCAGCGACCCGTGATAGCCTCGGAGTGCAGTTTCGCAGTCGTGATAGTCGAGAGAAGCATGCCGCTAGCGTAGCAGGCAGCTCTACATCAAGACCAAAGGCCTGTCGAGCATGGGCTGCGCACAGCACCTCCTTACCTTTGCAACACGTCGCGTGCCGTTCACCTTAAAATGCACACGCCCCTTTGCCCTGCAGCACCGGAGACGCGACTTGTGGTGACCTGAGCATGAATGCGGCATATCTGCCTTATCATCGGATCTTGGGAAGCCAAGGTCCGCTTCAAGATGAGTCTGAGGGCCCTCTGGGCCGACCTCAACCATGGCCTGGCAGCACCGCCGTATGTTGGGAAATGTGGGAAGAAGTGGCAATGCAGAAAGCTTAAGCAAGAGCCGTGTACCAGGAAAGGCCCAGATCCTTGCAGTTCTGGACGGCCGAGCCCTCATTGGCATGGCCGCTGGACCTTGAAATTAGCTTGGTTGTTGGGCGGCCAGCCTGTCGAGGCCATTTTGCACGCAATGTTTGGCTTATCCCTTGTATCCGCCAGGGCCTGAATTTGCCCAACCAAGCAGCTCAAATATTGATGCATTGAGGGTTGAGGCGTTGCCTGTTTTGTTGTTGTGCAGTTTTGTTCGCTTGAGCTGATGTTCGTGACACGATGCTAAAATGTCGGCGTCACAGGCTGCAAGCTCACATCTTGCGTGTGTCGGCAAAAAATCACAAACGGGTGATGGCCGGCAAGCTTTACAAGGCCCTAAATGATGATGGGGCGATGCTTGACTAAACGATTCCTTTCAGGCTGCCACACCTATAAGTCTGCAGTCAGGACAGCGGACGTGGAAGCTTACGTATGCAGTCGCATATCGACACGGTGGTTTCCGAAATTTGTCAGCACACTTACCCAGCAGACTTCAGAGGCCTGGATGTAAAAGGGGGGTACCCTTGTGGGGTTTCTGTAATAAGATATAAGGACTATGCTATTTTTGGGGGGTGCATTGGGGGTACCCCCTATTTGGGGAGATACTCACATGGCAAAATTCTACCGACTTTGCGGCATTCCAGGAGTCCCGAGACATGAACTCTTTGTTCAGGGCTCACGGGCCCGCACGACAATAATAATAACAACAATAAAGAAGAAAAATTGTAATCATCATATCACTAATAATCATATTACTACTGTGAATACTACTAATAATAGTAATAGCAATGGAAATAACGGCCCGCAAGCGGCATTCGTGAACCCAGCAGCAGGCAACAGGAGCCCAATGCGAACGATCTCGCGATGGAATGTGATCCCTCACCATAAGCAATTCCTGCACAAAAGACAGCTCCGCGCTTTCCCGCGCTTTAGGTTGAATTACCTAGGTCTTGACGGAAGTTGTTGTTAGCTGAACGCGCACATGCCGTCTACAAGGCTTCGTTTGTGCAGGCAGTTGAAGTTGGCGTTTGCGCACGAGCATGCACAGAGCATTGAGCCCGACACTGAACAATTTGAACAATGGGCCTGGGATTGGAAGGCCAGGGAGCACTTGGCAAAGCGTCCCGGCAAAGCGTCCCCACCAGGAAGCGAATCTGGGTGGTCGCGGCCTGACGGCCGCCACAGACGATAAAGACTGTGCTACAGACCAATTCCCTTGACGTGAAGCGCGCGTTGCAGTTTAACCAGACCCCCCCCGACAGGGCACAAGGCATAAGATTTGCACTGTGTCACAACTGCCTTCCGAAGGCAGTCGTGGCCGTGGGCCGAGTCTCTGATGTCCTTCTTGTTCACCATCGAGCTCGCATGTGCAGAATCTTTGACGATGAGCGCGCAACAAGCAGTACTCGTGAGGTCCGAATTGTACTGGTGTTTGTCCCTGAAGGCACCTTGTGATCAGATGAAGGAAATTTGCACCAATGTTGGCTGCCGGCACGCAAGAATTCAGTGCGAGAAGGCAGCGGTGCTGGGGCAGCATTGAGCGCACAACTCGGTTCACAACTCCATTGGTATGGGGCTGTTCTAAAACAGCATGTGTGAGTCGTTTTAGTATAAGTCTCTTAGTACGTCTTCAAGCCGCCAAGGTTGGGCAACATTGCCAGCTGAATGGCAAGATGCTCACTGATGCTCTTATCAAAGCAACGGCTTCCAGGAATCTCAGATTTGCCGAGGCCACCGTTCTTCCAGCCTACAGCGGCAATGTGGGAGGGCGACGTGCTCGTGGCAGCCGTCGACTCAAGCTCAAGGTCACTTATGGCACACGCCTCGCGAAGCTCAGCTCAGGCGTCCGGAGGCGTCTTGCAAAAATTCACGGCCGTGGAGAGTGGGTATCAACCAGCCCCTTGCCTTCGTAAAAGTGCTTCGTGTCGATGGTGAGCTACCTTGGGCATGTTGGGGCATTTAGGTCGGGCCTGCCCTCGGAGTTCCAGGCAACGTTCGAGGTGCAACTTCTTTCCTCTTCCAAACGAATTGCATCGGCAAACTTGATGCCACACTGCCGATTCCTGCTGCTTGCACAGGCATGGGGTTGATCGATGAGCATGTTGCGGTCATCAGCGATGAGGTATCTCGGCTGCTGCTACTCGCCATCGGCCGCGCATGTTGTTAAAGCCAACAACTCCATCTTCTTGCGAGTGCAACGGCGAGGGTGTCTTCTCCACCGGTGACCTCAATTCGACCCGTGCTTATTGAAAATGTCTGTCTTGTCCTGGCTGCGAGCTTGCTGTCAGGATGCTTGGCATCAATAAAGAAACCTCACAGGTCTTGGCTCAACTCCTCCTCGCACGAGGCTGCAGATGGGCCATTAGGTGCGCAGAGAGAAGGCGCCGACACGTGGGGCAAAGTTAGCTTCTAATCCAATCTGAGGTCTTTTGGGTGAACGTGGCCACACCGTGGCTGCGGCAGCAGCGCTGTCCGGCGCCAGGATGCACGAAGTTCTCTGGCACTGTGCCTACAGAACGCCGAGAACTCCTCAGCAGCTGAGGCTGCCTCTCGCCCCTTCTGTGGAGCTGTCTGCTGCGTCGCTGAGTGGCTGGGCACTGACTGCACCATGCAGCCTTGACCCAACTGAGAACTGTAAGCCTTGAGGTGGGGGCGTGGATGATGTGGGCGTCGCAGCCATCGCCATCATCGGCTCGGATGGGCTGTCCGACGCCATGATCGGCCACGGCCAAAACCTCGCTTGTGTTGGCTTTGCTGAGGCTTCGGCTTTGTCGCCTACCAGCTTCACCAGGACGACGGTTACTGTCTGATCCGCTGCGGAGTCGCCTTCTTCAATAGAATCTTTGTGGACATCTACATTTTGCATGCCACACCCCCGAGTGCCTGCCTGTGCTTTTGAAAGACACGGGCTATACCACATCTTCATGTGGGGCTTTCGCTTTCAAACCTGAACGGACAACACAACACAACGCAACGCAACCCAACGCAACGCAAACACACCACACACCACATAATCACCACACACCACACACGACACACCACACACAAGGCACCACGCACCACGCACCAGTCACCACGCACCACTCACCACACACCACCCACCACGCACCACGCACCACGAACCGCGCACCGCACGCCGCACACCACTCAAGACACACCACCCACTGCACACAACACACAACACACAACACTACACACACAACACAACATGCAACACGCGACACAATGCAACGCAACCCAAAACGCAACGCAATGAAACACAACCCAACGCAACGCAGTGCAATGCAGCGCAACGCAGCGCAGCGCAGAGCAACACAACACGAAACACAAGCGACACACACACACACACACAGATCAGGTGTGATTGCTGCCAGAGTCTGATGCAGTGTTCCCAACCCCCAGCTGGCATATTCTGTGTGGTAGTGTCGCACTCAATGTGGTTGGGCGAAGCACACACACACACACACACGTCCTAGGTGGGAAGCACAAGCGGCATGGACTTCTGACAGCTTGCCAGCATCAACTCTCAAAAAGAAGCTTCACGATCGCGTGGCAATCCGAACATGCGCTCCCATGCCTGCACCGGCATTGACGATGCTGTTTGTACAGAATCTGCCAGGTCTTGCTGCAGGTGTAGCAGCTGTAGGAAGAATGTCAAAGAAAAGGACCATGACAGTTTCAGCTGAGCCTGCAGTCGTCAGCCAGCTTCAAAAAAAAACTTCAAACCGCTTATGCACCAGCCTCAAAAACCCCTTAAAGACCCAAGGCTAGACTCTCCAAAGGCCACCAAAAAGCTGTGAAGACCCTAGTGCCCCAAATAATGTTTGGACTCTGGCGGCTTCCTGATAGGCTTTCTTACCTGAATGCTCGAACACTGCAAATAGCCCAGTATTTAGTCTGGGTTGTGCTTTGGGATAACTTGTCATGTCCCTTTTTTTCTTGAGAATTGGGAAACTATTCAAATAATTCTCAAGGGGTTTAACAATCCTTAAATGAATTTTGAACCCCAACAGCAACTGTTTGGGGATAATTCTCAATTCCCGAACAACCTCAGGGTTCAGGGTTTAGGGTTTGGGGTTTAGGGTTTAGGCAAAAGGGCAACATGGGCAACCTATTTTTCAGCCAGCTCCTGAACCAGGTAGGATTTGGCCGTGATCTGGCTGACCTGGGGATCAGAGTAAGTTTACGCACGACCGCAAGCCTGGCAAGTGCGCGCGTGTCAAGCTTATGGCTGGTTTGCCTTGTAACTTGGTTGTCATGACCCGAACGTGGCTAATGTCGTCTTCCTGCACTCATGAGGGTTCTCCCTGGCAGGAGTTCGCGGTTCAGTTCTCGCACAGAGGTTTACGGCCACGATGAAGTAAGGTGCCAGGTGAAGGATTCTCAATGATTCAGCCTAAGCTCGAGGGTCATAGGTGTTTTTTCCGACGAAAAGTTGCTATTGCTCTACGCGTATGTCGTTCTGTTTGGTGAAAAGTCGATAATCTGGCTACTTTCCTCGTTGGCATAATCTACCACTACTCTCTGATGTCGACCCTGGAATCTTTGGAGTAAGTTTGGACCGTTCCCCAGTTGAGATTTTTTGACAAAGTCTACCGAGTTGGCTGCTTGTCTCACGGTCGTGCGTGTTGCTACGCGTTGGGTTTCGGGCTTCCTCCCTCATGCAAAAACTCAGCGAACATGTTTTGTCACCTGGAGGACAACCTTTGCAAGTGCTGTTGGAGCTCGCGCTTGGTTTGGGACAGGTGGGCCGGCGCGCTTCCGCGGACCATGTGTTTTTGAATCGACAACTGAAAACAGGTTCAGGGTTTGCGACTGTGCCGCGCAGCAGCCTGCGGCAGCAATGAGGCTTGGTACATGCCATGCCGCCAGAAACTGCTAAGGGCTAAGGTTAACCTTCGTGCTCCCTTTGCTTTTTGCTGAGATTGTGGTTGTTTTCTGGAGGGCGTCCTCTGGCTTGCCGATTCACAGAGCGCCACGCCCACAGAGCAGACGGAGGTGTTAAGACGGACAGTCTACACTCGTATACTGGAGCACGACTTGAGATGTTCCCCCTTAGAACTATAGCACTCCTTAATAGGGATCATCATAGGGGGTTAAAGGACTCTTAGTACTATAAGGGGGAACATCCCAAAGCATGACATAATTTTCTGTTTCGTTTGAGGTTCATGCAATCAGCCTCGAGTCTGGCAGTGTCCCCAAGATGTTTGTGGACTCAGCACATGAAGTGGGTGTGAGCTGCTTTTGCGCAGCTTCCCAGGAGACATCCGCGCAACGTTCGTTGCAGATCTTCCAGAGTCAGGACGGCAGCTTAAAGCAGCAACGTGTCATGTGCGCCTCAGCTTCAACCCATGGAACTGTTTGTTGCGGGATTTTGCAAAGCAAGGGCGAGAAGAGGGAAGAGGGAGCTGTTTGTACAAGACAAGAACGCTTAGGGCATGCTATTAATGGTTGTTGTTTTGCATCTCTGCTTCTCTGACATGTCAAGACAGGAAACCGGAGCAACATGATGCCAGTGCCGTGGCTTGCTTTGGCTTGGCTACTTTCTGAACTCTTTTCTTCCTTGCTTTTGCCAAGCGGGTGGAAGGGGTCCCCGCCCCGACTTGCAAAAATGGTGCTTGCCGTATGTGCTCCCCTAAAACTGCATCGGATGTGGCTTGGGTTCGGCTGCGTTTGTGCACGACACCCTCTACTACATGTGCCGTGGTTTGCGGTGGAGAGAGTGTGTTTTGGTGTTGCCTTCCTCTGTGATGTGGTTCGGGGAAGCGCACATTTCGTTTTTCTATGGGCATCTCAAGAACACGTTGAGCCGAATGCCCAGCCCGTGCTGAGCAGTTAAAGGCTTGCTTGTGTCATACAAGTCTTGAAGAGATGCAAGTAGTTGCGTTTTGAAGCAATGTGTGCACCGAAGTGCCACATGTCAACCACTTTTGTGGAATGCGGCCAGCCCAAGCCGACATGGACTTACTGTTAAACATCAACAACAAGACCCCCTTCTCTGCAAGTTCGAGAAATGCGCTTTTTGTTGCTCAGCTTCGTAGTTGTGTGATCTTCGTTTTAGTTGCAGATGTTTTCCAAGTTTCAAGCTCGTGTCTTTTTTCTTCCGGGTCCTGGCTTTGTGTGAAGGTGGCAGCTGGTTACGTAGTCACGTAGCAATGCTCAGGTGGCGGAGATTGAAGGAAGCCGTTTACAGGGCACGAACATTCCATCGCTACCTATGCCAGCTCGACGCTCTCTTTTCACAATCAGACAGATCTTTGGAATGGGCATGTCGAACAAACCAAGCTTTTAGCTAAAGTGCCGTTTGTAGGATCCAGGGCCAATACATCCCAAAGCACTTTGTGAGGAGCGCGCTTGGTCGCCCTGAGTGGCAACAGCTCCCATCTGGCCGCGGGCTCGGCCTAGTGATGGTAAGGTGCCCAAGAGCAGGTGTGTAGGTGCATGATAAGAGCAGCAGCAGCCGAGCGCATATCTCAAAGGTTGCCTTCCTGGTCCGAGATGGCATGGAGCCTCAACTAGCTTTGGCCTCAGGTTGAGCAGAAAAGGTTGCGACAGCTTGGGTCTAGCAAGCAGAACGTGTCAGGTCGCAGCACCATACCCAGCCCTACCTCGCTCGTCTGCGCTGGAGCTTTAAGTGTTGACGTAGGCAGATGCACGTTAGTTTTTTCCGCTGCATCCATGGTCAAATCATGGAAGCACTAATCTGACTAATCCGACTGATGCGGCTGCTGTGCAAGCCTATCCCTGCAGCCCTGCCATCCCGCAGCAGAAAAAATGCTGGCCTTCCTTTATCTCCCTAGATGTTTGCAGATCTTACATGTGGCGGAAACTGCTCCGTGCAATGGAAGCTTTGAAAGGCAGCAGAGTCAGTGCGAGCGTGTGCGAGCGTGTCCCGGCTTGAGCATGCATGCGCAATCATCGGCAGCTCCAATACTCCATCACCTGGTCCAATCACCATCTTCCTAACGCAATCTACCCTTGCAAGAAAGCCCGGATATCGAACAGCAACAAGCAGACAAGCTAGAAAAGCCATCGTCGTTGGTCGGCCATGACGGAACCTCAAGCCAACGAGGACCAACGGGGCTGAGCATCGGCATGGAGATGCCCATGTGCTGTGAGCCGGCTTTCCAGCCGAAGCGCCTGCCCCCAGACTTCGCCATCTCTCCGGGACGACCGTGGGGTTTATGAATTGTCGGGTCATGTCGGGTCAGCTATCGAGATCCATCTAGCAGACGTTGTGGACGCGTTCCTTGCTGATGAGGTCCCATGGCTCGCCAGAGAAATGCGGCAGGCCTTGGCTCATGCTTCGGCTTGTCTTTTGCCCAACGGATTCCCGAGTGTTAAGTAGAAGTGCTCTCGGGGTCCTTCACAGGCCTGCGCCGAGGCTCAGGCGATGCGGACAGGCCCTGCGCAGCTCTTGATGTCTGACAATGTCTGACGATGTCACGCACAGCGCCACTGCCTTGCCTCCATGTTGTACATCCCGCTCAAGGCAATCAGGCTCCGGTCATCCTAGGTTGAATCTTACTCTAGCAGACGGTTCTTCGCCCCTTGGCCGATGATCCGCATGCCGAGGAGCGAGCTTGGCTGAGTTTGGGGCACAGGCTCTCCATGTGCCATTCTTGCATGTCAGGAGCTTGGCATGATGGATGTTGCAATCGACGAGTTCTGCGACTTTCTCTCTTTGCCGCCTAGATTCCAGAGGAAAACGGTGGTGTGATGTCTTGAAGACCCCCCTACGATGGCATTCAGCGCCATCAATGCAGCTAAGGCGCGGACTGCCGTACTGGATCATCGATCAGATAAGGCTTGGTCTTGCGGACACCGTGGACACCCCTGCCCAGGACGTGTTCAATCGTGTTCTACTTAAGTCATGTCAAGCCTCTTGGACTCATAGTTTGTTGGCCGAACACTGAGAGTAGCAGGAGCTTGCTCAAGCAAGATGCTTTGGAAGAAGTGGCTCGGGTGTCTCTGGTGAAACAGCAGGGGAGAAGCTCACCAGCGATGGGCTCGCTCTTCTCGGCATTGCGCATCCTCTTCATCGCCGTAGGATTCTGCGGGAGCTACAGTGCTTTCACCAGCTGAAGAGCCCAGATTGCCTGGCACAGACCGAACGCAGCGTCCATCCGAACTCCCCAAGTTCCGCATCACAAGGCTCACAGGGACGTAGAGACCTGCGAGACTTGCAAGAGCTGTGTCTGAAGCGTCCACGGCGGTTTGCACGACGCCGTTCCTTCGTGCAGGACATGCGATGGCCGTTCCTTTTGATTGAGTGCTTCCCAGAAGCTACAAAGCATCACTGCAAGGCTCCTGCCACAACCTCGTCTGATGCCGCAGTCCCTGCAGTGCGTTCACATGCTCAACGGCGACAGATGAAGCTCTCAACCCTGACATCCGAGAGCACCACAAAGCCCGACGCAGCACCTGAAACTCCGCAGACTCCACAGACACAGAGCTCTGCAAAAGCGGAGGTTCAGAGTGCGGGGCTCGGTGAGACGGGTGACGCGAGTGACACGGGCGACACAGGCGACACGGGCGACCCGTGCGACACGGGCATGGAAGATGATGGGGAGGATTCAGAGGGCAATAACGGCTGGCAAGAGTGGCTTCAGAGCCGCTTGCATTCCTGGGGCATGCTGTCACTTGTGGATGAAGTCATTCATGCGGCCTGCAGTGGAGATTTGTCCGCCTGCACAGACATGATGGAGAAGGTGGCGGTGCACGGAGAAGAATTTGAACAGTCTTTGGCAAAGACGCCGCTCCCTTCATACGTAAATACAATTCTTCCTATGCCACCGCACATCGTCGCACCAAGCAATATTTGGGATTGGCTCCTTTGGCGGGTGGAATTGCTGGAGGACGCCGAATATCGGGTGACGACACTTCTCGGCAAGGCCTCAACCCTGGTGGATTCCGTCATGGGGGCATCTTTACGAGGCCCTATGCGTAGCGACTCTATGAAGCATCCCCATTCGAGCTCCACAGACAGGCGCCGAACTCTCAATGTCAAGAAGCTCATGCAAGGGATGCAGACATTACAAGCTCCGGAAGCCCTGGCAAGGAGCAACAGCAACATCAGCCAACCCCCAAGGAACAGCAGCTTCAGCAGTCAGGCCCCAGGAAGGAGCAGCAGCGTCAGTAGCAACCGCAGCCAAACCACCGACGGCAACGCGCCGGAGAAGTCCAGCAACCAGTCAGGATTCCACAGGTTCAAGAAAATCGCCGGACTGGTTCTCTCCCACGTGCGGGCAAAGAAACAGGACGGCATGGTATTGAACACGAAGCTTCTCACATGCATATCCATGCAAACGAAGGTCACACAGACGCAAGATGAGCTAGCGGCGCTCATCAAGGAAGTGGATGACTGGCCACCCCTCATCAGCCAGACCCGAAGTAGTTGCGATGACATGCAGAGCCGCCTGCGCGAGGCCTCGCAGACCCTCTTCGAGCGCTTCGTCGACCTGCGGCAGCACGTAGAAGTCGAGCTGCGCGAGGTGACGCTGGGTGATCAGGGGATCGTGGACTGCCCTTTGCTCGAGAGCAAGATCATCGACGTCCAGCGCGAGCTCTCAAGCTCGCTGCTGCTGGGCGAGTTTGCGCTGCAGAGGGCAGACCAGCTTGGTGTGAGCCTTGGTAGCCCAGTGGTGCCCTTTTCCCCCTTTTTTTTTTGATTCTGGGTTCCCTTCTTCAAAATAACCAAGCCCAAAAAAAAAAGGTGCCCTTTATTATCATATGCTTCCTGGGCCACCCCAAGGAGCTTGAGAGCTCAAGGCCTGGAGGCGCCACCAAATCCCTGGGAAGGCTGCGTGCAGCTCGTGGAGCCCCCCTGGGAGGGAAGCTTCCTACGGGCCCTGAGGAAGCTCGAGCCGCTGCGGCGGAACTTGAACGTGCGCAGGCACGGCACGGCCTACGTGGAGGTGGCCCACACAAGGTCGGAGAAACGAAGGACCTTTCCTCAAAAGACTCCCAGAAGCATAGGCTAAACCCTAAACCCTAAATCCTAGGCCCTAGACCCTAAACCCTAAACCCTAAACCCTAAACCCTAAGCCCTAAACCCTAAACCCTAAACCCTAAATCCTAAACCCTAAACCCTAAACCCTTCTAGGCCTGCCTTGTTGAAGTTTCTGCGGCAGGACCTTGCAGGCGCCACCGAAGCAGCTGCGGCCGGGGATGTCCATTCCTGAAGAGCTGCTGACACGGCTAAGCAGTAGATAGAATAGAGGCCTGTCTTCTTCTTGGGTTGCGGGTTTAGGCTAACTGCAGAAGGCCCTTCTGGGGCAGTGTCCCCTGAAGTGCAGGGGATGGGAGCCAAAATGGCTTCCGGCCCAGAAGGCTTCAAAGCAGTTTGTCGTTTGCTGCGCGTGGTCAATGCACACTTCTTGTTGTTGCTTCGTCGGATGGTGCAGTTAGGTGGGATGTAGTAGCCTGGGATATGTAATCGAGCGTGTCCTGTTTCGACCGCTGATAGCTTTCTAACTGCTCGCTAAAATTGCTGAGTGGTGCACGCAGCTTGTCCAGAATGCTGCAAAGCTTGAAAGCCTGAAAACTCGCAGTTTCAGTGCGCGCTCGGCTGAAGGCGACCCAGCCGAACACAGTACAGACAGACGAGCCAGCCAAGGAGCCTTGATAAGGCCGAACGAACTTCATGGTGCCACCCCGGCATGCAAAGAAAACACATGTTCGTTATGTCGAGACAAGATTGCTAGCTGCAAGCATCATGTTCCAATTTTCTGCGGTTCGGGGAAGTGTGGACGAGACTTTTGTGGGTGACATCAGCAGGCTCAGACGCAAAGCACGGGCTGTGGCATGGCATTCGTAGCCGCAGAGGTATGCTAGTGTGCAAAGATGTGTGAAGGCCTGATCTCCGACAAAAGTGGGATCATGGCAACGGACATGGGTACTCGCAGACAGCATCGGAAGACTCGAGACGAAAACAGCAAAAATAGTAAAAATGGTAAAAATAGGAAGAAAAAGAAAATATAGTAAAATAGTAAGAAGTAGTAAAAAATAGTAACAATAGTAAAACCGTATGAAGTTTAGGCGGCTTCCGGACATCGCGTGCGGTCTGTAGCTGGGGCCTTGAGCACGCGGATGACGTCTGCCGGACATCCCCTGGATTTCTGGAAAGTCATGTAAGGGCTCTACATGGGCCTGCGTGTCTCTCACCACGGCTGCTCGGCTCCGAAAGAACAGCAGGAAGGCAAGCATGTTTCCGAGAGCTTCCCAGGAAGTGTGCGCATGCTCCGTGCTGATCTGGTGCCCAACTAAAGAAAAAGCACTCCCGAACCCGAAGCCCGAAACCCTAAACCCTAAACCATGAACCCTGCGCAGTGACCCCCCCAAAGATGTGCAAAGGCTATGGCACTCTGCCGGACAGACTCGACGCTGTGGAGCCCTTTGTCCGAGAGCTGTTCGAGGTGGGCATGGACATCATTCGGGATGTTGTGCAGTTCTTCAGCATTTAGCGGCCACTCAGGGACATGAAGAGGACGCAATGTGAACTTGTTCAGCTGGGCTCCAGGCGCTGGCAAATAGAAAGCATGGCTCAAGTGAAAGGCCCTCCAGGCCCGTGAAAAATCAAAATTCGGCCAAGCAGATGTGGATGACACCAGGTCAGAACTGATGCCCGTTCGCAGAAGCTTGTCTTGGGGCCGTGGGCGTGTGAACTTGGGGTTGTTGTTTATAGCCAGTTTGCAAGTGTGCTAAGCTGGGAGATGTACCGGTAACGGAGAACTGAAGCTGGGAAATGTGCAAAGCATGGAGGAAAGTATCACTGCGTGTTCTCCTGCCTGCTGACGCATCACATAGCTTGCAAGACATGGTTTGTATGGCGCTCCAGCTTGATGCGGCTGCTCTTGAGCGTGCGTGCTAGCGTGTTTTCAGGAGCTTCGAACTCGCTGTGAAGAGGAGAGAATGCAATATGTGCCCCGGCTTCAGAAATCTGCCAAACATGGCCCCGCAGCCGGATTCTTGATGTTCTGAGGCTCTTGCTGGCCAGACGCCGTCCCCGCACAAAGCGAACTTTTGGCTGGCGCACACGGACCCCGAAAGAATCTCGAGCCACTGGCTGCAAGGGTAAATGCCTTTGGACCACTCCTCTGACACAAGTGCCATCTGCAAGGTTATGTCTTCAAGTCGCGGTTGTTTCTCCAGGGTTTTGACGACTTCCGCTGCGGCAGTCAGATCTCCAAGGACTGGCTTCTTTTGGCCAATGACCCGAAACTACACCCTAAACCCTAAACGCTAAACCCTAAACCCCAAACCCCAAACCCCAAACCCCAAACCCCAAACCCCAAACCCCAAACCCTAAACCCTAAACCCTAAACCCTAAACCCTAAACCCTAAACCCTAGGCATGGCAAACGCTGCTGCCCAGTTCTTCTGAGGAGCAATTGCGCTTTGCAGTGCTGGTGCAGCACTTTGCCTCGCAGGATACACTGGATTTCCAGCGAACTCGCACTGAAAGAATGCACGATGATGTGTTTGAAGGTGCCCAGGTTTGGATTCAGTCTGGCAGAGCCTGCTGTGGACGGTTGTATCGTTGTGGTGCATTTTGGTTCCTTTTGGTGCCTTTTGTTGAACACGACACATCACATCACAGCACCAAGCGACATGGCCACTTGACAAGGTGTCCTCACGCAAGGCGTCAATACGCAACTCATGACGGACGCTCATCGCGCCGAGTGGGCCGTGGATGGGGCAGCCTTCGTCTTCTCTGACAGTGACAGGGATGTGCAGAATGATGAGGCGTTGGGAATCAGCATTTTGGGTTCAGGGGGCTGTGCTACATCTTTCGGTCTGTAGTGGTCGTGGATGTCACAGCATGCCGCATATCACCAAAGCTGGCTGATGACTACTTGACCACCCATCCGACGCACATGTGCGCACATACACGTGCACGCACGCACGCACGCACGCACGCACGCACGCACGCACCCACCCACACACACACACACACACACACACAGACACACACACACACACACACACACACACACACACACACACACACACACACACACACACACACAGAGACACACACACACACACACACACAGACACACACATACAGACACACACATACAGACACACACATACAGACACACACATACAGACACACACATACAGACACACACACACACACACACATCACTACACACACAGTACAAACACGAGACACACACATAAC